CGGCTGACCGACCGAAAAGAAATATATGTTAAATTAATATATATTAGAATTAATGGCTCTTTTCGAGGGTGCAGCCACGAGGAGCTGCATGGGGGCTGAACGTGGCAGCTTTGAATGAAAGATGGGACTTCAAATGGAAATACTTCTAGCTGCGCGATTGTCCATTAAAATGGGGAAAACTTTGCGCATTTTAAATATCGTATGGAAAGCTTAAAGCTGAAAGAAAAACTTAAAGCGAAGTTTTAGATGAGATATTGGCCAACCATCAATTAAATTACAAAAACGTTTCTGTGCATTTTTTTTTTTTTTTTTTTTAATATTTAAAATAAATCAATTAAGCATTGAACAATCAATTTTACAACACCAAATCTGATGTTTAATGATTTTAGCAATCATTTGTTAGTATTATGAATTCTTTTTTCCTAGTAACCTGACAGAACTGGCCATTTGTGGTTCGCTCTGACGTTATGTGAGATCCAACATGATTTATGTGCGCAGCATGCAGAAGTGCAGAAAAAACCTTTAAAGCAATACAGCCATACAGTGCTCAGCGCAAGTATAGGTATAGCCTCAAATATCGTTTTCATTTAAAAATTGCAAAACTTGTAGATTTTTGCGGTAAACAAATTTATTTTTTACTCAAACTAAAGCCACCAGCTAAATACACAACTAAGATAGAGCTATAAAGTATTTTTAAACTTCTAGAAATTTAATCAAATACAGCGCAGCTTTATGGTAAGAAGTAATGCTATTCAAAGAGAAAGAAAAACTGTTTAGCTAAACAGAAATCTTAGGCTTCATGTGTCAACTTGCCTTAGGATCGGCCTTCTTCCAGCACTGATGGAACCACCAGGCCTTGTGGCACAGCGTATCGCCTATGGGGTGTATGCATTCTTGGGACATGGCCATCAGATTGTCTCGTATGGAGTGCGGCACCGAGCTGAAAAGCTTCTCCAAATGCACGTCGCCATCGTCGTCGACCACTTCGAACTCGTGGAACAAACAATTCATGTAGCACTTGAGCTTTTCATCGTCATGGATTTCTCCATCACTGAACTCCTTGATCGCAGCTGTAAATTGTTGCAAGCGTTGCAATTAACATTATTATTATTATTATTTTTTTTTTTTTTTTTTTTTTTTTTTTGTTCTTTGCTTTCTGAGCTGCCAGACAGATGGCTGGGTGGGACTCACCCTCGCTGACGCCGGTTTGCTCCACACAGATGTCGTGGAAGAGCTTGGACATTTTGAGTACGTTCCTCGGTGGATACTGCAATTAAAAATGTGCTGCTTAAGTAGGCGTGGCGCAGCTCAGCTCGGTTTATTAACTCACGTCCTCGTCACGCTGCGCCAGAGCCGGCGACAGCAGCGCCTCGCTGAACACCAGTGACAAGGCGATTAACAGGCAGGCTGCGACAGGACGACGTCCGCGATTTTGGCCAAAGTCACTCAAAGCCATTTCCATGCAGACTCTCTGTGAAACAGCAGAAATTGTTGTTTGTACGCTCGCTCGGCCTTGTTTGCGAGTTGTGAAAGGCGGAACAAAAGCGACGATGCATAAAAACAAAAACAGCGCAACATCAAAAACAAAACAAAAAAACAAAAAAAAAGTAGATATACAAAAGAGACAGACACTTTGAAAGGGTCACATTGGTAACACACTATACAGAGTGCAGCTACTGGATATTTTCCTAAGTAAAGATATAACTAACTCTTGATGATCTGACATGGGAATATAAGATATATCATATATATTCCGGAAAAGAGATTTGACTGAACTTTGAACTTTTTATAGTCTAATGGTAAAAGTCAATAGACTATAAAAGGTTGAGTTAAGACGCTCGATAGAGAATAGTTTAGAGCTCTTAGCTACATCGAGATTGTGAACATGAATATGAAAATAAGCTGATGTGCTCAAATTAAGAAGAAACAAGGAATCAGCATTGGTTTCGTGCACATTCGAGCCCACAAAGCTCAAGCACCCGCTACGATAGGGCATACAATGCGAGAGGGAGCCACATGCAGAATGGAAATGGATGTTGAGCTGGCTGAGACGACAACGTGCCACGCGTGACAGCTGGACAATGACAATGTATGTATATATACATATTTCTGTGTATGTGTGAGGGTTTTTCTAAGTGCGCTTTTTTGTAATTTTTATTTCAGGAAGCCAGGCAAGAGGTTCGGGCAGCGCATGGAGAGAAGGCTTGGGAGGCTGACAGAAGTGAAACCAACAAAAAATCATTTGTTTCTTGCTAGCTGAGCTCAGCTCACGCTAAATTAATTCTAACCGCTAGCTGAACAAAACAAAAAACAGAAGAGAAAAAAACCTTGCCAAACGGAAACGGAAATGTGGCCGAGACGTCAGGGCTTCAGAGCTGTTGTCAACGTTCCTTTCTTTCAATGCACAATCGTTGTGTTAATTTTGACAACCAGATGCCCACGTGCGTTGCCACGCCCTGCCGCCTGCCAAGCCATATATATGCATATACATATAAATGTGGAGGCGAGTAGTAGGAAATTTGCCATTCGCTGGCTCATTTTTTTTTTTTTAACACAAAATACAATAGAAAGACATCAACTTGTGCACAACTGTCACTTTTGTTTTATCAAATGTCAACGCAACAACCGAAACAAAGCCACAAAACGACGCAGGCACACACATACACTCACGCAAACAATCATAAAGAACGAATGAATTTACAATAACAGCAACAGTTATGGAGCTGTGCGTGTGTGTGTGCCCCACAGTTGGCCCTGGCAGCAACGATGGATGGTTTTTTAATTGCCATTTCAATTTTCGTTATGCGAATTGCTGTTGACGCGTTTTTTACAACTTTTGTTGCTCCCGTTGTTGCTGCTGCTGTTATTTACCTACGCTCGTTCCCTTTTAAACTATCAACGGGACGAAAAATACTGTTCCAACACACGCGATACACCAACTGTCTGACAACCGCTCTCGGATTTGAATTGGCTTCGTAGCCATTTCTAACGGCCTGTTTTATATCGATTTCGGGCAAGTTTTGCGCATTAAGTGATTCGGCATTAAATTTCTATAATTTAGTACTTAATCAATGTCCATATTTATCTAAGTTGCTTGTCATCGGCTTCCCTATGCACCACTTGAAATGAATATATACTTTTGCAATTTGCATGCGACTGCAACTGTTCACCCAGCACTCCCAGTTGCGTGTTCGCAATTGCTAGTTGTACAAGAGCAGAAAAACAAATATACATATATATAATACAGAGCGCCATAAGAAAAAGTCATTTTTTTGCGGGTCAAGGTATGAGACATGCATATGTAAATAATTTTTCAAATTGTTTAATTGACTTTTCTGGCATTCGCAAATAACTCTATTTGGCGCCGAGCTCGCAAGCAGCGTGAAAGGGCTTAAATTGGTCAAGACTTTAAACTTGGAATGAAGCTATTCAGCTCATACATTTGCTAGTATACAAATATCATCGGAATATGAATGGGAAATATATAATGAAACAAAAAAATATATTAAACTCTCCATTTTTGTGTATGTCAACAACTGTGATTCGCATTCGTTCAATATGTTTCAAAGGTTTGGTTTTTTATTGCAACGATATATTGGTGAAAACGAGAATTGTAATATTTTATTACCTTTGGCCGTAACTAGCTGTTTGGCAATCGAATTTGAATTCCTAGTTTGGTTGCAATGACAACAGCAATTGCATTCAAATTGCCAGGTATGTGAAATGAGCAAATGAATGCATACAACAAGCGCTACAGATCCCAATACAATGACAAAATGCCAAATGAAAGACCGGAAGCCCATAAATTGAACGGTGATTGTCACAGGTAGCAAAGCCCTATGCTACCGATATGGACATTGGTCATTTGTATGTTACGTACGCCGGCCATTCAGATTTATTGCGTACTCCGAAGGTAATTCTGTTGGCCGAACAGATCTAATGAAATAGTAACGTGTCCAAATTATAAAGCGACAAAGGTATTTGATTACAATTAAATGAAAATGAAGCGGATCCTAATAATACAAAAGTATTCCTATTCATTTAAATATGAATGACAATCATCATTCAAAGTTTTATAACTTTTCACAAATTTTTTAAATTATTTTCTTACGATTTTGGTTGATAAAAATTTGCAGATAAATATTTCTTATTTATTATTTTTTGATAAAACACAGACGATATGGGGTAGGAGCCACTCCTGTTAAAAAAAAATCTGCGATTTATAAATAATTAGAGATTAATTAGATACAATATGAACATGTAAAGTCATTAAAATTGTGAACACCACATCTAATTTTTAATTCATAAATTAAATAATTATGTAAATTTAGAAAAAAAAAACTGTGAACTCAATTCAACTCGATTCCTTCTAGTCTTTCTCTTTAGCACTTGGCAATCCCCTGCACTTGACGATAAAGTTTCATAAATCATATCAATAGCATATCAATCGATGCGTCATTTTCAATAGCAAATGCAATAAAAGTTATATCAAGATGCGTAAAAAATAGATAGATAGATTCAGAGAGAGAGAGAGAGAGAGAGAGAGAGAGAGAGAGAGAGAGAGAGAGAGAGAGAGAGAGGGATAGAGAGCTGCAGCAGCAACAAGAGCAAGAGCGTGCGCTATAATTATTTATGCAAGCAGTAAATGCAGTCAGCAGCCGCATATTAATTGTATGACGATGTCATTAATGTTTATCGTTGCATAAAATTATAGATGCGCTCTTTAGATAGCGCTAATTAAATAATTAAATATGCTTTAGGCCATGGCCAGTCAGCGGATTTATGTGCGCCATCCATCAGCAGTGCCAATTATTGCTGTAAATATATCACAATATTCGCATAAAATTCGCAGTGCCACGCCCACAAGGCTTCAACTAGCTGCAGCAGCAGCTGTTGCAAAAATAAAAATAAATAAATAAAAACTTTATGCGTCATTTTATATCCATTTTTATTTGTTTATTTTTTTTTTATTTTTTGGAATGCTCGTCAAAGTGCTATTTGTATAAAATGAAACTGAAATATATACGTGTATATAACTAAAATATAGGGAATAAAATATAAACATAAATCAAGTGTCTTTGTTGGGCTTAGCTTGGGCCAACGGTCGTCAATGCTTAGATGAGAAAATAATGCTGCAAAAATGTAATTTATTAGCTTTTGCAGCTCCTCGCTAATCAGGTGCAATGGCCCTTACCTTGGGATCCGCCTGCTTCCAGCAGCGATGCAGCCAAAAGGCGCGCTCGCACTTCGTGTCGCCCTTGGGATAGAGACAACGCTTGCCCATGTTCACCGCAATGTCGTGCATGGAGTCGGGCAGACGGTCGAGCAGCTTCTCCAGGTGCACCTCGCCATCCTCGTGCAGCACGTCGGTCTCATCAAACACACAGTACATGTAGCATTTGAGCTTCTCGTCCTCGTGCACTTCCCCATCGCTGAACTCCTTAATTGCCGCTGCAAACACAAGTTGAGAGTCGAGGCGAGAGTACAGTGACAGATGGCAACAGCTTGTTTGCATTTGTCCGGCATCCAGCTCGGCTCAAGTCTGTTGGCCCAGCTTATGCTGCTTCTTTACCACCTGTACTCACCTTCAGTCACTCCAGTCTTGCCCACACAGCTGTCATGCACGGGCTGCAGCTCCTTAAGCAACTCCGGCGGAGGATACTTTCGCATATAATAGAATAATAACAATAGAATAATAGAAATATCTAACAAAATGCGCTTCAGGCAGATGATGATTGTTAGTTTTCCACAAATATACAATTCGCATTTAAGCTGAAAGCTTATGCGAAAATTCTTTATTATTTATATACCCTTTCTTTTTAGAATACCCACAGTTTATTGATTTTTCTCTAGGCTTGAATTGACATCTAGTAGAAAATTATAGTTGAGTTTATTTTTATTGAATATATATTCATATTTATTGAGCAAGAATACGGGAAACTCAACTTGTGTTAATATATAAGCTCTTAAAAAAATATTGAGGCTTTTCATCGGAGTATTATATATATATATATATATATATATATATATATATATATATATTCATTTGCACCAAGAATTATTTTGTATATAAGTTTTAAAACTCATATGAATCAACTCATATTTCCATATATAATTATTTAATGGAGGAGAGTTCAACAAGAATTGGATACTTGTCAAAGAATTGAGCTGCATTTAAACACATAAATATGTTATGAAGCATGCAAGTCGACAACTAAAGGTAGGTACAGTAAATCATCGCTATACCAGCCTTGGGGCAAGGCATTATAAGGAAGAAGAAAAAAGTAGATGCACTCATTTGATGTAGCTTACCCTACATCACCTCCCTACGTGAATTTCTTTCTAGCTGCTCTTCATTATCTCAACTTGTGATTTGGTTTAACTTGTCTTTGCCGACAGCGATCTGGCGCTGCTGCTACTGCTCCTGCTGCTTACCGTTTCATCGCGTCTCAGCTCGGCTGCCCAGATGCCACGCCCCATCACAGAGCATAGCAGTAAAATGTGGAAAATGTTAATGGTGGCACGCAGCGACATGATGCTGCTATACAGCTGCTGCTGCTGTTGCTGTTGCTGTTGCTGTTGCTGCTGTTGCTGCTGCTGCTGCTGCTGCTGCTGCTGCTGTTGCTGTTGCTGTTGCTGGTGGTCAAGTTGCAACGTGACAACGCCGTTCAAGTCCAAAGTAGCGTTAAGCTGCGGAAGCACGTGAGACGCAGGATATCTGGGATCAAGGATTTAGTGCCGCACACACACATACACAGGGTACGGTCAGCCACTACGGACGTGCAGTCAAGGGGATTAGCCGACGAAATTGAATGACTTTAGCAGCCAAATGGAACTGCAACAGCAACTGCAACTGATACTGCGACAGAGCCAAGTGGCTAGTGGATGTTTTATATAGCCGCAGCCAGTGTGTGGGGCGAGCTGCTTGATCTGTGTAATTAGCTGTCATTAATTACTATGCTCGGTCCCATAATTAAGCCAGCCGAAACGTGGCCAGCAATTTGTCAATCAAAGAGCACTCGGCGCGAGGCGCGAAAATACATGGCTCAAGCCGGCAATACGCCATGTTGGCCAAGATGGCGACCAGTCGAAATGGGTGCGTGTCATGAGACGCCGGCAACAAGTTAATAACAATAACAACAAAAGCAACAACAACAACAGCAACAACGGCACGCATAGGGCTATTAAATATAATGCGAATGCCAGGTAGCTCCGTCCCGTAACCGCAACCCATCATTTGTTGCCACACGAAACGCGTTAATTACGGGTCCGGTGGACATTGCAATTTTATTTTCCTTATTTCTGTTGTTTTTTTTTTCGCTCCCACATTCATTAATTATTATGCAAGCTAAGCGCTGGGCAAAACTTTTGGTTGGCTCTCAGTCCCAAGTTTGCTGTCTCTCTCTCTCTCTCTCTCTCTCTCTCTCCACCCACTCTCTCTCTCTGTCTCGCCCTTATTCTCTTTCTCTCTCATCCTTTCCCTCTTTCCCTGCCTCTCTCTCTTTCTCTCTCTCTCTCTCCCTCTCTCTCGGTTAGGCATGAAAACTCAACGTATCAAATTAATTTTTAATAGCCCGGCCCAACCCTCCAACTCCTCGAGTCTCGCCAAATAATAGATTTAAACGAGGCGCACAGCAACTTTTTAGGTGGGCGTCTGGCCATGCATTGTAATTAAAGTTTTTGACTTTAGTTTTGGGGGTCAGTGGAGCTGCGTACTGGCCTTCAAATAATACGCACAAAGGCGCTGCCAAGCTGTAGCAGCAACAGCAGCAGCAGCTAGGCGTCACTCCTTGTCATTCTCATGTTTGCCATAATTGCGCAATGTGTTGAAGGCATTTAATATGGCAGCAGCAGGAGGGCAAGCTATGTGAGTGTGTGTGTGTGTGTGTCTGTGAGTGTCTGTGTGTGTGTGTGTGTATTGACATGTGACACTTGCAAATTAGATGCCGGCAGGCGAACAATGTTGCCTATGATGTTGCATGCCATTGTTGCATACATGTGCAAATGCAGATGCTTAACACACAAATGAGTCTGTGTGTGTGTGTGTGTGTGTGTGTGTGTTGCACAACTTATTGACACCTTATTTGCGCTCACAAAACGCACAACTCGTTTTGTGGCTTGCACATGCAATTTACATGTGTAATTTTTCGGCCATACAAAAGTTGCAGCTGCTAACCGCAGTGGCAGCATCAGCAGTAGTCGCAACAGCAGCAGCAGCAGCGCAACGACAGTTACATCATTGTCAGCAGCAGGACAAGCCAGGATGACAGAGGACAACTTCGTTAAACGAACTGCAGCATTTGTGCAGCTTGTCAGCTGGTCGCTCCATGCAATGTTGCCCAGCTAAATTTGAATAGCGCGCGTTTGTTGCGGCCATTTGTATGGACTCTAGTGGTTTGCTGCTGCCGGACATAATCGATTTACAGTGTTGGCCAGGCCCGTCTACGCATTTCACCAGCATGCAGCCCAACGCCCACGCCCCACAAAAAAATCAAGGCAACAAAAAAAAAAAAAAAAAAAAAGCTGGAAGCTGAGTAGTGTATTGCAAAAGGGATGACACTGCGTGGGCAGGATGGGAAGCAGAGGACCTGTTTACGGCTCCAATGAATTATAATTAATGATTGCGGCCTGGGCGGCGGCTTAGCTTTTAAAATTTATAGCCGGACCAGTCCGACCGACTGCTGGAGCATAATAAATTTAAATTAGCACTAGGCAAATAAAATACGCACAATAAATAACTGTCCAAGGTCAACAATTTTTGGGCAGCAACTGCGCCGGGCCAAAGGGTATGGCCATTTGATATGAATTTAACATTTTATTGCTCATTATTATGATATATATATATATCTGTATAACCAGGTCAGGCACGGTACGCTGCTCATTTTTGAGTTTGCCATGGCTCAGTTTTTCTCTTTTCTCCATATTTTTTTCTACCTCCACATTTTGCTTAAAGAGCCGCTCAAAGCAATGCAACTTGCATCATTAACATATTCACAGTCTATTAATTTTCAGCACACACACACACACACGCACACTCAAGTCTCGAGTCGCTTAAGTCTCGCTGTCGACTGGCTGCCCGTTCAGCCTTTGGCAACATAATTAGAAACTTTTGCACTTAAATGCAAGCTGAGTGCATGCGGCCAGTCGAATGAATGCATTAAGCCAAAGTACAAGCCAAGTACGCGTTAGCAATGTGCCATAATAACTACAACTATATGAGCTGGAACCCACCACGCACTCGCCTCCCCTCCCTTTTATGAGGCGCTCTTAGTGCTATGCTTATAATGTTAAGTACTAGCTAGTTACATGAAAGTCGTAATATGAGCAAGATTTTTCTACGTTAAGCTGCAGTGCTAACAAGTACTTACATATATTGGGGATATCTTAAAAAAAAAAATAAAAAATAAGCTTACAAAATTCGACAACTACATTACTTTCATTACTTTAGATCATGATTTAACCTTACATTTATATATTCTTCGTGATTATGTTTTACCCTGGGCATCTGTACAACTCGAAAGTTAAAAGCTTTTTGGGCATAAGCCTTATTATTATATTTATATAAATTCATATCATTATCATTATTATAATTATTATTTATCAATCATCAAAATCAATATTATATTTGGTATCAGAGACATGATGCTAGGCATCATTGTCATTGTCATTGTCATTGTCATTGTCATTGTCATTGTCATTGTCATTGTCATTGTCATTGTCATTGTCATTGTCATTGTCATTGTCATTGTCATTGTCATTGTCATTGTCATTGTCATTGTCATTGCCATTGCCATTTTCATTGTCATTGTCATTGCCATATTCATTCTTATTATTTTTCTTATTATTATTGTCATCATCATTTACCAGAAGCCTCCGCCACTCGGCTCTGTGTCGGACAACACACGCAGTTTGACAAAGAGATTTGAGCTCACAACTCTAATGACAGTTCACTTAGACATTTCATCTCATCATCCCATTTACCAAGAACTGCAAATAGCCTACAACAACTTTCCTTAATGGTTCTTTAGTTTTAGTTTGACCTAACCGAAACTCAACCCGTCAACATAGCTCACATATTGCTCTCCAAATATTTGCTGCAGTTTCTCTCTCTCTCTCTCTCAGTCTCTACCTCTCTTTTAACTCAGTTTGTCTTACTTTTTCAAAATATTAAATCTTTTAATATCTACTGATACGGGCTAAAGTGTGTCAATTAAATAAACTTTAGCAATTATTGAGCAGAATAAGTCTACGATGTTTTGTCATGGGTTTAAATGGCTTTAAGATTCTTCCTATCCCACTTGTCACTCAATATGAAATTCGATTGTTTTTTTGGTCTATTTCTGGCCAAACTAAAAATGATTATGTGATTTGACCTCATTTCAGTGCACTGTATGCCCTGTGCTGTGACGACACACACGGCGAATTGTTGCAATTTAAATACGCGCCCACTTAACTTTATGCATGACCCATAAAATTGGTCATATATGCATAATATGGCATGTCATTAAAAATTAATTAAGGGTAAAATATGTGCAGATGACTTTTACGAGAGTTTGGCGCGAGTCGTTAAATAGTCGGCTGATAGCCAATGCAATGCATCAAAAATGAATGTCATATACATACGTACTTATACATATGTAACTGTGTATATATTTAACACAGCTTTTTAACTGTCCTGTTTGAAAATTGAAAGCTCCAGGGCTACAGCTCCAATGTCCAATGGGACAGATGGCAGAGGGCAACTTGGCAGATGGGCAAAGGGTTGCGGTCCCCCGCAGCTATGTCATTGATATTCATGAGCCTTGGGCGTTTGAACTTGACAGTGATTAAGATTTGACTGTCCTAACCAAAACAGAGTAGGAAAAAACGAATTAAGAATGCTGCAAGCTTAACTGCACGACTAGTTGCTGTCCTGTAAACGGCAGTGTAGAAGTAAAGGGCATGATAAATGGAAAAAATGCTTTCGCGATTCGAGTCTTTTCTTGTGAAATTCAAGATTCCATTCATTCTAATTTCAAAGCGCTCTTTACATGGCGCATTCAATTGTGCGCGGCTCATGCAAATTGCGAGTTATTGATACCCCTGCTCGCCTTCAGAGCAGGGCATACTGAATACGAAAAAAAAGGCTGCTGGTATTCGCTTTACAAATGTAAATTAGACCGCCATTTTTTGCGCTGTGGCAGATATTTTAATTTAGTCTGTAAAAATGACACGGCCGCAAACAAAAAGGCGCTGTGATATTTGCCCTTTGTTTTGTTTGGCCAGGGCCAAGCATCTGGCCATCTTTAGCCTTTTTTGGCTTTCTTTTCTATTGTTGTTGTTGTTGTTGGTGGTGGTGGGGGTGATTTTCAAGTGAAAAGCGCGGCTACATCAAAAGGGTTTGGCTGTGGGTATGGAAATTTTTGTGCTGTCGAATTTTTATGCGAAAATGTCAAGCGGCTAGCGCAAACAAATAAAAACAAGCAGAAGTGTTACAATCAGGACTGCTCGACTAGAAGATATCCTAAGTCAATTGCAGGCTAACTCTTCCCTACTTTTTCTTTTACTTCATGTATCTATTGCTTGAAATAGGTTTAAGAATAGGGGCGGATGGTATATGAAATCTGCAAAATTTCAAGTCTCTAGGGAATCGGATACTTCAAGAGACAGATACTTAGACTTAGAGAGATGAACATTACTGTATTGACTTAGTCAGTTGTTCTGATCAAGAATATATTTCTGCCACGCCTC